CTGAAGGGAAATTTCAGTCCGTGAAATAAGAATTTACCCAGGATGCATCACTCTTTTCAATGACTGGCTTTCTCTAACCTCGGGCATGGAGGGTCCCAAACATCCTTGATTCTAATCCAACTTACTTCTAAACTCAAATTCACTTTGCAGGGTCCCGTTTGGGGGAGCCATACATCCTAGTGTACATGGGGTGAGAGCTCCCAGGACCGTGAGGCCGATCCTGGGACGTTTCAGACAACCACGTGGACCCTATAGCTTCTTCCAGCGCATGTCCCTGAACCCGGGACAGGGCCACCTACGGTTTAGCCATAGGCTTTACCCCTGGGAAACAGGACAGAAGGTTGAGGCTTCGGTACTGAGATGGGGTGAATGACTTGGGGTGCCCTGTCCGGGAAAAGAGAACAGCACGACTTCCTGGTGTGGAGCTGGGGAGGTCAGAGCATCTGATCTCATTGTCCGCCCATCCTCCCCTAGTGACCCTCACTCAACGGCTCGATACAAAAACAAACAAACAAAAAAACCGACAGAAATTTGGGGCATAAATGTTGGGGAGCTACTTGATGCTAGCTGGAGTACAATAAAAGCGCTTAACCAACCTCCACTTGCTAACTTTTCTGCAACATGTACAGGTGTTACAGGTGGATGCCATAGCACACTACATGCCCAGGCCTTGCTCCAGCACCCTCCACCATTTCTGCTCGATATAAAGGTGTAACTTGAAGCAGAGAGGTCTGAGAAGCAAAAAGCCAGCGCTGTGGATGTGTACTCTCTTTGTCCTGTGCAAACATGGACACTCTTTTTTGAAGCTCTCCAGGTCATCTGTGTGTCCGGTTCTAACTCCCGACCACACAGGCATTGCATTCTGTGTGAGTGCCGTCGGGGTGTGTGAATGCCGTGGATCTCATCTCTTGTTCAGACAGAACGGGCTCGCAGCATTAAGACTCCCTTCAGACAAGTTTCCTTCTCCTTTATTTATTTATTTTAAAAATAATCATATTATTATTTTTAAATATATTGTTATTGATGTCAGAGAGGAAACGAGCAGTAGAGAGAATTAGAAAACATCAATGAGAGAGAATCACTGATCGGCTGCCTCCTGCACGCTCCACACCGGGGGTCGAGCCAGCAACTAGGGCATGTGCCCTTGACCGGAATTGAACCCGGGACCCTTCCGTCCACAGGCTGACGCTCTATCCACTGGGCCACACCAGCGAGGGCAAGTTCCCTTCTCCTTAATGAGGATGGGGAGGAGCAGTTCTAGGAAACCACAGAACCTCTAGGTCTGACTCCCCGAGGGACAATCGCAGGAAAGCAACGTTTAAAATTTATTTATAGACATTTCAGAACCATTGAAATCGACAATGAATATTTCCAGACATAACGTCCCCTGTTTCTCTTGAGGTACACAGTGGGCCCATCAGGTAATGCTCTGGACAGCAATGTGACTGGGCCCTGGTAGTCCACAGGCCCCGGTTTCCACGCCAAGAAACAGTACAGGTCACGAAATTCTGTGAGAAGAACAGGCCATTTCCATGTCAGTTAAAAAAAATTCCCCAATGTTTGAGTTCAGTCTTTTAGGCTGGGCTGAAACAGTATTTTCAGTGGAGCGTCACGTGAAGATGGGAGAGGAGGCGGGGAGCTGAGAAGTGGTCCGAGCCCCCCTACAGGAGATTGTAAACAAAGGGACTCTGTCATCGATAAGCTCATACAAAACCATAGCCTCAACGTGGGACAGCAGCACACTCACAGAAGACGGCTCTCTGGTTTTAACTGAGAGGGCGCTTGCCTCTGGGTCCTGGCTTTCACAGGAGACAGGCTGTAAGACACCACGCTTTAAAGACGAAGCGATGTGATCTGATAGGAAGCGGCCATCGGAAGTCACAATCCCACAGCCCCACAGGGTGAAAGTCCTGCTTCCCATCGAGGGAATTCCGGGCCTCTCCCTCCTCTTGCCCAGCAGCCGATGCGCATACAGGACTAGAGAAATAGCGGGGATCCATTCGATGAACTGAGCCTCTGCGAGTCTCTGTGTCCGACATGGGGATGAGGATTCCGGGGGACCACGCGGACATCATCTTGGAGCAGCTCCGAGGGTCTTCGGACAGCTGCTCTGTTCCCCCGTTTGTTCTCTGAAATGTTCACCTTCTATCTGGAGGCCTGACTGACAAGCGTAACGAGTGTTGGGGAGAAGGGCCCTCTCTACCGCATGAACCCCGATCTCCCGTGGGATGTGCAGGGGCCTGGGATGGCAGCGAAGGCTGCTTATGGCTGTGCCTGGAAACAGCCCTAACATTTCCGGTCCGATTGCTGTGGTATTTCTCCACGAGACAAGAATAAACACTGCCGTGTCCTCGAATGGGCAGCTTGCGGCGACTTCATACGCTTACACGGCACACGGGGGTGACAGCGCACATGTGACTTTCACAGTTCACCCCGCCGAGCAGCCCAACCCGGGGACAGGGCTGCAGGCCTCTGCCAGCTGACAGCAATCAGGCTGCGAGGTGGGGGTCTGCCCTCCCTCCCTCCGGGAGCCGGCCCCACCTTTGACACTTTAGCAGTGTGGGCTGGTTTATTGCTGACTACCTCTCCGAGGGCGTGATGACTTTGGCCGGGAATGTCAGGACCCAACGAAGGGTCCTGTTTTGACTGACACTTTCCCCCAGGCGCCTGGCCACCGCCCTGCGCTCTGCCTCCACCAGGAGGGTTGGGAACAGCTCTGCTGGTGGGACCATCCCGACTGTCACTCGTCGCTACAAAAAGCACAGCCCAGGAGGGTGAGCTGCCCTGCCCGCCGGCTCTGCCCCCGCGTGGCGACCCCGGGCTCTGCCCACCTGCTCTGCGGGGCCACGGCCACCTCCAGCCAAGAGCTCGGTACAGGGACAATTCCCTGCACCCGGGGCTTTGGAGAGGCCAGAAAAGGTCTTCACGGCGATTAACACAACTCCAGATCCGTAGGAGAAAGCGTGCCCGTGCGAGCCGAGTACAGGTGGCCACCGGCCCATCCCTGGCGCTCACTGTCCTGCGGTGCTGGTCTCCCCGTCCCATCAAGGCTGCAGCTCTTCCCCCTGCGGGTTCTCTAAGGACAGCACACCCTGAACGCTCTGTCCAACCACTGCCCAGGGGGTTTCATGCCCCCCAGCCCCACAGACACAGCAGCCACTGCCATCTCCATGCAAATCCCTTTCTGCAGCGTGGAGTCAGCTCCGGCCTGGCACACGACAGATGCTCAGGACGCTGTGACCCCATGTAACAGAAACCCCAGGCCACAGCCCTACCCTCGGGTCTCTGCACGGCCAGCCACACACACGCAGCGTCCACGCGCCAAGACAAAAACAGAAACTATTTTCTGTAACGTTTTTGGAAAAAAAAAAAGTAAAAGGAGGCAGTTGTTTATGCAGGGCAACCTTCACAGTGAACCCAAACCCACCCTCTTCCTCGCCCTGCACGTGAGGATTGTGTCCATGGGCCATGTGTTTACAAACGGATTCGACAGGAATTCACTGAGAAAACACGCCCCTCTCCATGGTGCCCCGTCGGCTTCCCTGTAAAGGGAAGATTCTAGAGGCTGGCACTCCTGAGGGGGCTGCCCGCAGACAGAGGGATGCTTTCCGACCAGCGAAGACCCGGCAGGGCCTGCCCCCCTCCTGTCCTGGGGGAGCCATACTGGAAACTTCTACGTGGACTGTTATTTTTATTTTTTTAAAAATATATTTTATTGATTTTTTACAGAGAGGAAGGGAGAGGGATAGAGAGCTAGAAACATCGATGAGAGAGAAACATCCATCAGCTGCCTCCTGCACACTCCCCACTGGGGATGTGCCCGCAACCAAGGTACATGTCCTTGACCGGAATCGAACCCGGGACCCTTGAGTCCGCAGGCTGACACTCTATCCACTGAGCCAAACCGGTTAGGGCTGGACTGTTATTTTTAAAGGGCATGTAAAATGGAAACCATGAGATAGGTGAAAAGTATCTTGATCGCCAAGAAATAAAGCCGTGTGCACAGGCCTGCAGAAGGAGGGGGGTGGGTCTTGCCGTCACTAATTTGTTTTAGTAGCGGGAGGAGGGACCAGTCAGGTCGCCTCAGCCACGGGCTGTGGGTGCCTCCGGAACCCGGGACAGACCCAGGGCTATGCGGCGACGCTCGCCTGAGAGCAGAAACTTTGCTAAGACACATGCTCCTGCAGGAAGCCGAACGTGAAGGGGAGGCCGATAGGGTCTGGAATATTTAATCACGTTTGGCAGCATCTGACAGAACCATGTTCTGACATTCTCGGGATAAAAGCAGTAAGGATGTGTTTTCTTTGGAAGAGAGGAGCAAAGAGGTGCAGGAACTAAACAAGGACTCTCATCAATACTTTTAAAAACTATGCAACAGACGTAGCCCCGAGTCATGGACGGTGGTGCGTCTGACGTCCGAGGAATGCCCTGCAGACCCCCCTTTTCAGAGATCGGGGGAGAGGCCCTCAACCCGGAGAAGAATGGTCGTGTCCCCAGACGTCAGCATGGGAGGATTAGGCGCAA